CGGTTTTATTTTTCATATGTAAAAACCGATTAAAACCGGGTTTAACATATGAAAAATAAAACCGGTTCCAAACTCTATGACAGACGTGATTCAATTTCGCTTTTAACTTCACTGCAAGTACATTGATAACCCGGCTTTAGTAAATTTCGAACATCAGTTACAACTGCAACTATGAAGTTTTTATGATTAAGCTCACATTCAATACACAAGTATAAGTGATAAGGTATTACAAAATGTTTTGTTTTTGTTTCTAGTTCTAGATCAACTTCTTCCTACTATAATTTAGACCAAATTCCATAATGCAGTTGAGGGTCTATAATTCCCAGAATTAAAATTCTTATATTAAACTGTCATTTTCTTTTCAGCATATCTTTTAGATAATGTTATTATCGATCAGAGAAGCAGTACAATATATGCGTGATTTAACTCTTATGATTAACGTGTTAGTATATATGTGGATAATTAATCTTTATACATGGTAAGTATATCTTGATAAATCAAAATCTAAAATAAATTCATGCAAACACATAACAGCGCAAGTGTGAGGAACTGAGAAATATTAATATCAATAATATATGATTTTTGATATTAGAAATCTTTATTAATAGAATAGCACAGAAAGATGAAGTTATCTAAGACAGATTTTGAAGGTTTTTATATTTTTAAGTATTATGATTTTATTCTTTATTTATTTTTGATTCTATAAGAACTAATGTAATTCTCCATCTTCATAAAAAATATTATATGATCCTTGTTATGCTTCTTGAATGATGGCTTTGAGTTTATATTCAGCCTTTTAGGGTAGGGCTTAGATCCTCAAAAGAGAACTAATTTCATTTCTAACAATAATTAAATGAACATTATTGCATAGTCATACTTCTCACATAGACTAGCTAAATTTGTATTAGATCTTTCAGGCATAGCTTAGATCCTTAAAGAAGACTAAGGTTATTCCTAATGATAATCATACAATCTTTGATGCATCGTTGTGCTTCTCGCATTGATCCGGCTATGAGTTTGTATTCAACCTTTTGGAGTCTAGGGCTCTGCAAGTACCTGCACACATACTATTAAAATATAGTATGCCTAGCACATGAGCACTTGCAGAACCTTACTTAGATCTCCAAAGAAGCTATATTATTAAATGACTTTCTATGCATGGAATTGTTATTTAACTGTATGCCACTCAATTTTTTGTAGATTTAATATGACTTTACCGAATTTAACCTTTGATACAAGACGTAGTAACTATATATGAAGCAATAACCAAATATAGAGTATATAACAATAGGCATTACGAAATAGAAAAAAACAATCATACGGTATTTATCTTTATTTGTTTTACATATAGCATTATCATATTTTTATATATTTACATGTTTTAATACCCTACTCCTTCTTATAAGTATGGTGAACAAGAGTAGATAGTAGAAATAAAGATTAACTATCACAAAAGAGGGTCTCTGAGTTTATAAACATATTACCCTTTTCAATTAACTTTATATCTTTTCTGCATCAGCTTTAATTATTTTTTATAGCTTTTTGATCTGCTTGAAATTTCAACTTGTTTTAACACTCAATGATCGAATGGATGCCATTTAGTAAAACATTACCTTTAATAAAGTCGCATTCTGTAAGTGTCTTTTTCTCTGACAATGAGCACTTATAGAAAGTCGATTGTAATAAAGTTAGGATTCGATTTATAGAAATTATCAGATAACCTGTGATTAATTCTTTGGCGATAGTAAAATGGTGCTAGTTCAACTTCGGGCAATGATCTATGCCAATCTGCAAAAAATATTCTTTTAATGTATTGCTAATCTAAAATCATATTCACTATCTCTATTCCAATAATTGAATTACTTATTATCTCTGTTTGTTGAAAATTTTGGAATTTTTTTAATAGAATTATTGGTTTAGGCATACTAAAAGTTTTTTGTTTAGGGCTTAATAACAATGGGCGTATCGATAGGTTTCAACCTTTTATGCCTATGCTCTACCAATAATGCACAAACGGAATTGTTCATATTATCAGGATTCTTTTAATTTTCTTTTCAATGAGTGTACGCACAGTATGTATGCATAAGCGAAACAATGTTCTCATATTTTTTAATTTCAATCGTATTTACCAACTAATCTCATATGTATTATCTATTTACTACTAGAGCGATTGGTTCGATATCCGAATACAGAACCCAAATATTAATCTTTAATAAAGCATTAAAGTTTATTTTTTACAGAATTTAAGTTTTGATTTTGATTTGTTTTGGGTAAAACTAAAATTTTGGACAGTGAAATTAACAAAACATCTATACAGTAGTTTCATCTGAAGCAAATTTGTGATTACATAGAAGTCTCTCTAAATATACTTTATAGAAAACCAAAATTTCTAACAATGTGCATTTAGGAAATAAGAAAAGTGCATTTGAAGGGTCAAGTATATATTCAGGCCAAAAGTTGAATGTGCATTTAGAGATTAATCTTTTTTATTTGTTACTTTGATTGTAGAGCTTTAATCCTTAATCTGACTATCTGAATTGATCTTTAAATCTGGGTAGATTCAGATATTTAGATCAGAGATTTTTACTCAGATTAGTCAAAAAACTCAATTAGCGAACCTAAGAATATACTACAAAGCTAGCTTTATATGTAATCTAACGCGAATTCAATTTGGATTTAATAGAATTCGAATTGCCTGTCAAAAATAAGATCGAAGCTCTATTTGATTGGACCTAAAATTTGTTATAGAGACTATTCAATAAATCACGATACCTTGTTCACTAACAAATCATATAGATCTTTCTAGTCTATATATATACAACATTTATAATTAGTAATATTATCTATAAACCTGCCTTTCTGATAGTTTTATTAATATCCCAAACAACGTTTAGCCATTCTTGTATTTTTTTTCTTTTTTTATTTCGAATTTGTATGTTATTTATAAGAAAATGAGAACTAAAATACCTAACTAAAAACTATGAATAATTAGTTAAATAAACTCAATAAAAGTTGTATAATATTTAATTTTACTCTTAGAACAAATTTGATAATTTTGAAATAATTGCATCTGCGATTGGAATGTCTTTATTGTTAATTCATTTAATTTTTTGCAACACTATCGTTTATAAATTTATTACATTATCCAATAATTTTCGTGGAATAAAACACAGTTGGTCTATTAGATCTATACATTGACTCACTAACAGGATATAACATTTAGGGTTCTTTAATAAATTTAGAAAGCAATCTATTACATATTTGAATACTCAATACTTCATACCCATATTGTGGTTTTCTTGTAGACATTTTAGTTATAATAATACACAAGATATAAATATCTGCTGTTATTATATATAGCCATTTATTTAACACTTCCAGAGCAACATAAAGGAAAATGTTATAAATACTATCTTTTAAAGCCGATTCATCATCATTCTAGATCTGCAACATAAGATATTAAATTTTTATTAGCATTTAAATTTCCCTAAACTGCCTTAATTTTCTCCAATTAGATGTTTTAAAACTTATAGAACATAATAAAGACTTACTCTATTTGCGTATTGAAGTACTATCAAATATTCATTATTGGTCGTATTATGAGTTAGTCTATACATTTCAATATCAATACCCACTAATCTAAACTGCATATATAATTTTGAAACTGTTAAATAAAATAAAATTTATTTTGTTAATAATTTGAGTATCGCTAAAAGATAATCTGAAAATTTAAATATGATCTATATTTAAATTTTCAGGTTTTCTTTTAGCGACACTCATTTATACCAAAGTTTGCCTATAAATTATTTCCCTTAAAACATTTCTTGAACTAGACAGTTCTTAAATGTGACTACCATGATAGTATACAGGATCGTCCTATGCTAAATATCGTATAACATCTAACCAGATGTTAAAAAATCTATAATTCTTTTGATTACCTCTTTCTATACAAACTTAAAAGATTGCGACTACCAGTCTTTTTGGAATTCGTGAAATTTTGAAAAAAAAAACCATATATACGTAGGTTTTGTCAAAAGAAATCAGATTCTTATTCTAATAAATTATAAATATAATACTGGGTTCTAATGATACTTTTCTATCTAAAAGAAAAATTAGTGCGCACGTATATAAGAATAGAGGATCAGACGAATAATATTTCACATAACACAAATTTGCAGATCATTGCAAAATTTGTGCTTTTCAAATTTAATTTTTAATTAATAAAATTGCATCATATATATTTAGTAATTGTAGATCATTTTGTTTAGATAACTTGCGATTTATCAATTAAATTAATTTAAACTTTAATATTAATTTTCTTGATAGCTATTAATCCAAATTGGCTTAAATTTTTACCATATATAATACATATATTCAACTATAATATATTAAAATTTTAGCTAATTTAAATTAGTAGTTTTTGAGAAATTGTTTGTTAATAATAGTTGATTTTTTTAAAAAATTAATTATTGTTAACAAATGATTTCTCAAGAACTACTAATTCAAATTGGCTAAAATGTTACTATATTATAGTAAATATATGTACTATATATGATAAAAATTTGAGCCAATTTGGATTAATAGTTATTAAGAAAATTAATATTAAAGTTTACAAATTTTATAAAATCATTATTAATTGATAGTGACTATAATTATTATATATCAGAGTGTGGCAACATAGAGTAGTGGTTAAGTTATCACCCCCAAGCAGCAAGTCTAGAGTTCAATTTCTACTAGAGACATTTTTTAAAAATAGGCCTGTGTTCTGATAATATTTATTCAACAATCGGTTAGATATATTACCTGTAATCTTGATACTACTATCTCAAAATAGAAGCTTTAGAGTAATTTAAATTTAAGAAACCAAAATATTTGAAATCTGTTTGGCAAAACCCAAGCTAGAAGTAGTGAAAATCTTCAATAATATTACAGAAAATTTAAACCAGAGACTGAAGAACTAGATGAATAACTCTGAGGCAAGAAGGATTAATCAACCTGGCCACTAGAGTTGTATCAGAGGAAAAAGTTCTATACTACAGAATTAGAAATCAAGAGAAGTAAAACCAGAAAGCACTTAGAGCCTAGATACAACAACTCATCTGGGCTAACTAGCTTGATAATTGGGAAGAGATCAGTATAAGAGGCCAGTTGAAGTGGATATCAAGATTAGAACAAACCTTGTAAAGGCAAGAAGTAGATAATGGTAGTAGTAGAGTTCCGCATTTGATTTGATTTGATTTGATTTGATTCAAATATTTGATTTCAAATCAAATTCAAATATTGATTTTCAAATCAAATCAAATTCAAATTGAAAGATCAAATATTTGATTTGATTTGAAATTATTTTTAAATAGTTAAAATTTGAAGAGTTATAGTTCTGAAGACTATTTTCTTAAAATTTTATTAAGACAATTGCTAATTTGGTTCTATGAAACTAAAACTATTTTGATTAGAAGAATATATTTTATTTAATATGCAAAATCAATTTACTTAATAAAATTTTAAGAAAATCGAAAATATTTATAAATAGCTAAAATTTAAATAAATTTAAAGAGTTATAGTTCCAAAGGCTATTTTCTTAAAATTTTATTAAGATAATCGCTAATTTGGTTCTATAAAACTAGAGTTATTTTGATTAGAAAAATATTTATTTTTTATTTTTATTTTTTTTTAATATTAAGGTGAGGTCATGCCTCTGGTTTTTATTAACATATAGCTTCGATAATCACAATTACATATATATATATTAAGTTTACAAACTACAGAGACTTAGACTAATTTATCTATAACCTAAACTTATTAGAGTAGTTCATGCTTCACATATATATTACTTAGCTTGTGCTTCTCAACTAATTATTTTTAGTAACTATATATTCTCTCCATGTCTTATATAACTAGTTATAACTTCCAAGTTGGTACGTTAAGTATCTGCTCTTAATGAGCTCCTAAATTAGTATACCTGCAAACATAATTTACTGCAAATCTCCTAACAGATCTTATTAGTACAACTGTAATTGGTGCAAGTAACCTTTCTATAGCCTCGTATCTCAAGCCAGGAACTTTTTGCCTAGTTAGGTTTACCACATGATATAGTTGGTATTATATTGCCAGATATGCTAATTGGCAGAAACCTTTCTACTTATCTGCCCAAATACTACTAACCTATATCTCAAGCCAAGTTCTGCTACCGCTGCTAATTTGCTACCCCAGGACTTAATGTTCTTTTTCTAGTATAGTGATACCAACTAATCTATTTGTATTTTCTCATATAGTATATTATTAGAACCGTATTTTATAAAATTAAGGCAAGCTCGAGTTCTATTTCTAGCTATAGGTCTTGCATCATATTACTAGAAAGCATACTTCAATTCATATTAACTTTCAATTTGGATTCTTATCTATTGGTTAGTGTTGCATTATCGTTAGTGTATTCTGGTTTCTTTTGTTATAGACTTCTATATAGATATGACTAGAGCTCTAACTTGGTACCTTTAGACGTACTAGATTAGCTAGCCTGCCTCTATGAAATTACCTTCTTTAGTTAGTTGTTTTACAGTACTAGAGGCAGTGCTGCATATTTTAACTATCTAAAGACTTTTTTGGTACTGTCTAATATCCAAGTATTTAAGTGTCCACAAGTGTTCAGAGCATGTTCAAGCTTTAATAATTAATAAATTTATTTAAAAAATATATAATTATATATATTTTTTTATATGTTGAACATATTTTACTTAGAAATTAATATAGATTATCTTAATAAAATTTTGAGTAATAGGGGTGTGGTGACATAGCAAAGTGGTCAAGTTGTTATCCCCAAGTAGCAGGTCAAGAATTCAAATCTCACCGATGACTAAAATTCGAAAATTTTGCTTGTGTTATGGCTAACTATATTTGATAATCAGTTAGGATAGGATACCTGTAATTACGGTCGCACTAGCAAGACTGGGAGGTCTGGGGCATTCATGTGATATAAGGTTACATGAAGGAATACAAAACTGATAATAGGGCAGTACAAACACAAGATAAGCCCCCGGGCTGTATAAATCCAGAAAACTGTGAATATGGAAGCCCACTTGGCAAGTCCTGAGTAGAGAAGTAGTACAGATTTTTAACAGAGCTACTGTAAAGGTTAGACCCAGAAAATGGAACCCATGTGAACTGAATTAGATAAAATATGGGTGTTTGGGAAGTGCTCACACCAACCAGATTGCTACAAATAGAAAAGAGGACCAGAAATCTAGCTAGGAAGCTCTTGTAATTGCAGGCAAGTCGTGGCAATGGTGGGAGACCTACTAGCCACCCTTTGGGGTATCTACCTAGGTGCAGAGAAAAAGTACCAGTTACTAGACTATCTAGCTTGGAAGTCAAGAACCAGGGTTGGGGCTCCTGCTATCGACGAATAGGTAAAATCACTAATACCAACTAGGCCACCGTCAAATCAGAGGAAAATAAGTGGCTATATACTAGGCTATCTGAATTGGAAGTCTGGGTAAAGAGAGCTAGATTACTAAAATACTGGGATATACTGTGAAGTAAGTTCTGGGGTTTGAGTAAACTCTACAAGGGCAAAAGTAGGTTTGGATAGCGAAGTTTAGCCAAACTGGGGTTAAATCGTAGAAAGGAAGCAGGAGAAAATTTAAGCTGAGAGAAAAAACCGCAGGCAAGGACCTCAACCCGGTACTACATACACTCCAAAAATAGGCAAACTGAGCCACAAGTGGTGGGCCATAGCCCGTACGTACCAGACTGAAGTGCAGGCTAGGTGTGGTATAAAGTAAGAATACTGCGGGCTCTGCCAGATTTACCTTAAGAATAAAGTAGTCCTAAGTCATCATGTGAACGTATGCTAGTGAGACCGGTTCATAGAACTAGATGAATGGTTGCCAATTGACGTAGGTGTCAGAGTATATAGACGCAGAGAGTTTATATGGGTAACCCTAGTTGGGTTGCAGGTACGGCAACTAGTGTAGAACCTAGTAATAGGCAGACTACTTAAATAGGCACCCAAAAGATGCAGGTATAACTAGATATACCCTCTAAATATGTATAACACATTCGAAATCAATAAAACACACTTGACCAAGAGGTCACCTTAACACTGAAAAAAAAAATTTTTGAGTACCGTACCGCACTGATTAAAAAACCCAGGGTCTAAAACAAATTACCTAACCAAAAACCTATAAATTTGCCAGATATATTGTACGGCAGAGGGTCTCTATCGCAAACTGGAAAAATTTCAAATGAATATTTATTCCTTAATCATGGTATACATCCTGAGATTTTAAAAAGAGCTAATCACAATTAATAGAATTTCTGTGATTTTTACACAGGTATTTTACATGGGGGATATAATAAAATGGGATCTTTTAATCAGTGTGGTATAGTAATTTTAATTTATTTAATTGTTTAAAATTGTCTAAAGTGTCCAAACTTACTGTTCACAACTGTTCTGTAACAACACTACCAGAGGTGTTTCTAATTCAGATAAGACCAATCTTTTACTATAGCCCTTTCACATGTCTACCACTTCTCTCGATACTCTAGTTTTGGTAGTATTGTATCACCCTTCCAAGCAAGTACCCAATGCCAATCTAAATTAGAACTGATATATATGATCTGTTGATCATCCTTCCAAGCAAGTACTCTACAAGCTAGGTGCAGGGATGTTGGTACTACCTAAAGCGGAGATGAAGAGATGTTGGTGTTGTCTTCAGGTCATCCCAATCAGAGAACTTATATATACGATCTTCTACAATCTAGACTTTTTGTAGAAGACACACGTATCGGCACTGCTTCACGATAAGGGCTCTTTCTGAGAATTCCTATTCCAGAACTTGTATTTGTACTTGAATTGTCT